AGTACCTGAAATATCTTGCTATGAAAACTTCCATATTATGTGCAAATGAAAATTTAGCTTCCAGTTTGTTTCTTTAGTGGAGAAGACATAATTGTTCCAAAATACATGAAATGTGAATGTTTTCCTGTTAATTGTAGGAGAACAATATTTCATCCATGTGGGTGCTATAACAGTAAATACCAAGTGTAGGCTTTAAGCATCTTGTACGCTCAACAGATTTGAAAGCCACTAAGTGCATGAACAAGAAGAAAATGGAGACAGAAGGCAAAAAACACTGAAGGGAAAATCCTTCTGAAAGCTCACAAAGCATTTCTAAGCTTACAGAAATGACCTGCTCCGTTCCTGTTACACAGAAGTGTTAAAATGAGAGCAGGCGACCCCTTTCCCCCAAATCATTCATCTGTTATGTCTGCGATGTATTTAGACTGAATCCTTTCCCAGATGCTGCGGATCTGTCGGTTCCAGGGGAAATTAATGGGATTTTACCATTTGCTTTGAGGAAAAGAGGACTGGACTTTCTCCTGCTGTCTTTGGCAGGAAGGAGCAAGGAGCTTTCCTGTCTGCTCTCCTTAAATATTGCGTCTTTTTAATTTTTTTTTTTTTTGCCAGATAGCCTATTTTGTATTACTGCAATATAACATGCTGGAAAATTACAGAGGTTAATGTACAGCACTGTGATACACAACCATAATGGTAGACTCTAATGTTTTTTAAATGATAAACCAAAGGCATTTGTAATACGAGTTGTAGTGAATTGCCTGCACTTCTTGCCAGACATTAGTTTAGCATTGCTTTTAATATTTTATGCACTGAAGTTGTTTGTAAAGACTAAAAGCTTCACTCACTTTGCACACTTGTGCTTTGTTCTGTCCCTGTACAAAACACAACAGAACCACTCTCTTGCTGATGAATTGTATGTCAAGAAATTCTATCAAATTAGAGTTATACTACATTGGAAAGATTTTTCTACCGATCACTGAAGAATACATCGGATTTATGGTGTCATAACTGAGCCAAGTAGTTAGAAATCTAACCTTTCATAATATCACAGGTTGCATATTAATGTTTTAAATATCTAAACCACACACGAATGACGTAGGACATTTTTACTTTAAATGTTACTGTAGAGATTTGACGGTACATAATCCCATTAAAACAGAAGAGTGCAAGATGAAACGACCCATTTGCAATTATAATTATGCATATTGAGATTGACCATTCTTTAAAAAATTGGAAGTGCAAGGTTGAGAAGGGTGCTTGAGCAATCACTCTTTGTTGAGAGCATTGATGGAAGAATAAAAAATTTGAGGGGGATTGATTTGTCAGTAATCTGCATGAAAAAGTACGGGGAGCGTTTCTTCAGAACGTGAAGGAGAGGTAACCCTTTCACTGTCGTGGTTAGCTTTGCTTGGAGAGCCACCACAAAAAGCCATGATCAAAATGAGATCAGCAAGTAACACTGAACTACTTCTCCTGCTCTTGACACTTGATAAATAAAGAGTATTAGTTGATCAGCTTAGTATTGAAGAGTCAGCATGGCCTCATGAGTACTCCAGAGGAGGTGGGTTTTGTTCTAGCTCTGTCAGGGGCCTGCTTTTTGACCTTGAGCAAAAAATTTTTGTCTCTTTGCCTTTCTTTCTGCTATTCCTTGATTGCCTTGTCTTTGTGGAGGATGAGCTCTTCAGGAGAGAGATTTCTTTGCATTGTGTTCTGTGAACAATGAAGTCTGAGCCTCGCCGAGGCCTCTAGGGGCATCTCTAAAAGAAATTATAATTGTTAGCTTTAATCACTTTCATCAAAAGAGCTTGGTAATGGAGGGTGTCAGTGTGGAGGATTTGGAGAAATCTGTAGGGTGCCTGTTAATTAAGTCACCGTGGGTGAAAGTTGCTGATTGGATTTCCTTGGGCTGATGCAGAGATGCTGATGCCTGGGAGCAAGTCAGTGCTGCTCCATATGGCTTTTCGTCCCCAAAAGCAGGATGCTGACGCTGGGTGCTCACTGCTCTGCTCCTGCAGAGCCAGAAGCGAGGTGCTTGGTACCTTTTAGCAAACAAAGCTTTTTCAGAAGCCTCCTACTGGTTGCCTAAAACTTCATGCTCTTTTTTGTGGGTCCCTCTGGCGTGAGCATTTGCAACAGAAATTGGGTTCCTTGGCTTTTTGCAGTGAAGACATATCCTTGAGGGTGAGCCATCCCATCTTGATGGGGTCTCCTCCTAGCCTTTGCTGTTGTCAAAATAAAGTGTTTATCATTGCTCTCCTTATTAGCAGCTTCCAGTTTGGGATGGAGGTGCAGCAGCATGCCAGTTTGCAGATTAATTACCCTTCTTGTGCTGCAGAGGAATGCGCCCTTGTCCTCTTTGAGTGGATGCATTACTCATCATAGCGAAAGATTCAGAAATGAAGCCAAATGAACGCCAGCAGCCATGTTGGTAAAAGTGGGCTATGTTGAGGTGTCTCCATTATTCATTTAGCAGTAAACTTGGGAGGTAGAGCCCCCTCTCCTTAGCATCCTGAGTGAGACCCCTTCCCGAATTGTCCAGGCAGAATATGACCAGGGAAGCATTGGGGAAGAAGCAGCAAATGCTTTCTGAGAAGCACTGTAGGTTTGAGGGCAAGCAGGTTAGTCAAGTGAGGTGGAGAGCAGTCAAAGAGGATCAAAACAAGGCTCCCTTGCATAAAGGGCAGGACCTCCACTGCTCTGAGTATTAGGAGTCAGAGGTAAAGCAATGCCTCTTTCTTTAGTGCGTTTATTCTCTGTTTTAGGGCTAATACCAAATCCCTGTGGTTCCTGCAGCGCACCCCTGCCAGTGAGCATTGACTCTAACAAGCATTTTGCAAGATCTTTGGTCTTGCAAGAATCCCTGTATGGTTCCCTTCCTATTTTAATAAGAACAAGAATTCCCCAATCTGCATTTGAAATCTGCATAGAAATAGCATATGGCAGAGGCCAACTCAAGGTTACACATTTGGCATTTGGGAAGGGAAGGCAAGAAAAATTTACCAGTCAGTTACACTCACATTATGATAAAATAAAGGTGAGCTGGGAGAAGAGCATGTGCTGAATCCTAAAACGACACAGAAGAGCCATAAACCACAGTGTGTTGTGCTATCTCTAGTCCTTTATGCTTCAAGCAGAAGTAAAATGTGGGGTATCGTAAATGAAACCAAAGATCTTGTTTTAATTTTATTTTAAAAGCCATTGCAAGGCAATGGGGGTAACAAACATTGACTTCTTCAAACCAGGCAAACTGTACTGCTCCCATCAAATGAGAATTATTCTCCAAAAGCTTCTTGTAACTAGGTAAAGGTTTTGCTATAAAGCACGAGTAGTCTAAACAAATGGCATTTTTCCTAGAAATAAAGTATATGGATGCCCTTACGAGGTGTTGCCTGGTCTGCTCTACACTTGTAAAAGTGTTTTTTCATAGTGAAACTGTATATATTTGGTCAAAGTCCAGGGCTGAAAATGGGTATAATCTGTACATCTAGGGACTTTTTTTCATTTGTACAGTGAGGAATAATAACTGGCCTTACTGCGAGTTTGCCTGTAAATTTCTTAGATGATCCAAAGCCTGTTTATTGCTTACAGAGGCAATTTTGCTGACAGGCAAGCTGGAATAGGTCTCTTTTTCTTCTAGATCATCCATACTTGCCTATTATAGAGAAATCACTCAAAAAGCAGCATGCATGCTGGACTCTCAAGCCTTGTTTTAAGTTTTAATTTACTTGTCTGACTTCCAAGGTTACTGAATGCAAGCAATTGCTTCTTCAGTACATAAATAAGATGAATGACGCGTTAGGGACCAATGCCTTGGCCTTGTTCTTCTCCTGCTCTCAGGGGAGGATCTGCTGAGGAGTGCTTAGAGCTGGGGTGCGATTTATAATTTTTTGCTATTGAAAATTAAAGTAAGACTGTTCTGGATTAGCTCAGATGTGAAACTGGAGCCCCAGGCCATTTTTTTTTGGACTGAAATTTTTAAAGGTGTAGGGTGGTCCAGGGTGTGGATCCATGGCAGCTGAGTGAAAGCTGTGCTACAGCTCTGGTTGGGAAAGGCTTGGGGACTCACTGTTGTAACTGGAACAATTGGCCCCAGTTTAACAGTGGATCCTTTTTTAAATCAGCTTTTTTAAGTTTTTTTCATGTCAATACACTTCTTCCAAATAGCATGACCTGTGTTCTTCCCTACAGGTTGCAGAAAATGAGCTGGGTTTGTAGTTGATATTTGAAGTAAAATTCAGGCAGGAGGACTCATTACTGTTTCCCTTGCATGGGTTTTTAATTATATTTTCTAATTGTTTCACTGGGATGGGATGGGGTCCTGGGGTCCTGTGCTGTCCAGCTTGACTCTGACAAGACTGATTCTCACTGAAGTTTCATCTATAGCAATCCCAACTGTGAGGAGCAATTTTTCATCTGTAATTAATCCTGATAAAACCAACACTTCCAGGAGGCTGATCTGTATCCATCCATTTCATTGTTTTGTCAATTAATGTTATATTTAGCATCTAACACTGTAATTTGAAGAAAATACTGACGATGTAAAGGGACAGAGAAATTTTAAGTTGTAGCTGCCGAGGAAAAGAAATCGCTGTCCTTGCAATCATAATTTATTTTAACTTCTTTTCAAACTAGATGCTTTTTATTCTGGTACAGCGGCCTCTTAAAACCTCTTATAAATTGTCAGGTTTAACAATAGTTTCTCCAGATCACATTGGAACCTGGTGTGGGAAGAGATACTTACATACTTGTATGTGTGTTTGATATCTTCTTGAATCTCTAAGGATTTTTCCTCTGATGATTGTTTTGTCTTCCCATGCAGAGACTTACTTCATAGACATTAAAAATTCTTACTTTCCAGGAATCAGTTCTGTTGACAAAATGTGTTGTTTATTGCTCTATCCTCTGGTAAATGCATAGCAGAAAGTTCGTGAGTGCTTGATAAGTCCTCAGAGGCAAGAGTAAACATTTTCTAATTGTTTTATTTTTCTCTTTGTTTCCAGAAATGTTGAATACAGTACTCTACAAAAAATAGCGTGTGGATTTCTTGCACCTGAAGAACAAGAAAAGGTAATTACCGGACCATACAGTCGAGCCTCATTTGTTTGCTGTGCTAAAATATTTAGACCTGATCACGTTGCATGAGCCTCCAGCACTGTCTCTGCATATGGGTTTTGTGTATTTTCAGTTATGCAGGCACAGTTGTTTCTTGAGAATATTCCTTTATGTAAAGGGAACAGGGGAACAAAAGCAGCAGAGCATGAAAATGCTGAAGCAAATGGTAGGGAAGAGCATACCGTGAATATTTTCAGTACATGTAGAAGTGAAAAGGGTAAAAGAGGGGAAAAAAAAACACGACAGAGGCTTATATGTGCCAATGGGAAAAGGGCTGCAGACTTCACTGTGTTTGCGAGGCTGCCTGGCGGAGCCTTGCAGCCTGCTGGGTAAGTGTCAGAGGAGGCTCAGTGATCATCAGTGTTACAGCAGCCTCCTCATGTTTAGGTGACCGAGTCGCTCGTGGGGTGGTGCACCCTGCTCCAGAGGCTGTGAGCTCCTCTGCTGCCTGCAAGCCTACCCCTTGCAATCCAGTCTCTTGATCCTCCTGGGTCGTGACATTTTGTTGTGGAAAGGCAGCTCGGCAGGGCTGTGGCTCTGTTGCTGGTGTTAAACAAAATGCTGTTCATCAAACTTTCATGAGACACTTTGCCAGGGGCTGCATCTTGAAAGAGTAGGCTCCAAAAAAGCAGTGAGCAGAGCTGTGCTGCTCCGTACTGCTGCCATCTCCTGTATTTTCTTCCACCTTCTTTCCAAGGCTGAGAGGTGAGCACCCCTACAGGGCCTCGAGTGGTTTTGCACTCTTTCCTCCCTGGAGGAAAAGTGGGACAGGCATGGCCACGTTGAAGAGTGGTGGTCCTGCTTCAGCTGGTACATGGTGTATGGTGATCCAGAAGAGGGACCAGGAGCTCACCTCTGCCTTAAAATCTGTCGGGCACGATCATTACTGGGCTTAAGCTGAGGAATCTACATGAGCTGAGCCTTTCAGCAAGTTCTTGTAGTAATTAATACAATGACTTTAAAGTAGAAAATGTATTGGTAGATACCAGTATGAAGAACAAAACAAATGTATAATGTGAAGGTCTGTAAATCTGAGTACAACAAACCAAGCCAAGCCTAGTGAGACTTAAAAATATGGATGTGAAGAGAGAGACACAGCAGATGTTGCTGGGGTCAGGAAACTTTGTGTATGAACACGTGACGTGCTTCTACGAGATGCTTCATTTCATTGCTTGGGTTTGAAAAATGCATGTGAGTGACATCTTGTGTTCACTACATCTGCAGTGCCATCCTGCTGATAATTAGCCACGTGCATTTTAGAGGCAGTATGAAGCCAGGATGACAAATACAGACAAATCATAGCGTGGAACAATTCTGATTTCTCCATATATCAGCATTAGCATTTTTTGAATGTCCATTTTTCAACCCTACAATTGGAAGTGTTGTCCCAAGAAGCATGTTGAAAAACACTTCAAGGGCCTAAATTTGCAACTTGTGTGGAACCTTGTGTGTTTTTCTTGTGGTGGTCTCTGCATGCATCAATTAAGTGCAAAACTATGACAGCAGAGGAAAAATAGCAGACAGAAGAAGAAACTCTTGGAGCAAAAAAATGCTTGGTAAAAATGTATTAAACTTTCAGAGAACAGTATTGTCCTGTGTTTGGGGTCAAATGGTTTTGAACTACCTTCCACGTGCTAGCAAATGGGATTCATTTTGTTGGATGCTTCCATTTGGATTTATGGTGCCATTTAAAACTCTGTAATACTTTTTGTCACCATCACCAGCTCATTTCTCTTCTTTGGGACTGTCCTGCTCGAGCACCTGACATGTATGGGAGATACAGGATAACTTTACTGGGAGTCAGACAGTTCAATGCTCTGTTTATCCATTTCAAAAAGAAAGGTTGAAAAATCAGATTTCTTTAAAATAATGAGTTTTCCAAGGGGATTAATGGTGCAGATTACAGTATGCCATGATGTGTTGGCAAAGAGGAAGACTGTGCCTTGCTGTTGAGTTTCACTGGTATTTCACTGCTCTTTTATAAGGTGAAATATTAGTCTAAGTTATCTGTGCAATTTAAAATCATCTCTACAAGTTCAGTCATTTATGTTTATTTATGCTTTTGGGACAGTTGTAAACAGATTTTTGAAAAAAGTAGTATTTCATTTTGTGAGTAAGAGATTAAAAACATGCCCACATTCATCAAGGCTACGTGCTTTCTAAGGCCTTGGAACACAGATGCCCGTGCTATTGCAGTGTGGCTCAAACATGGGAATTATTCCCACTGGGTTTCTTGAAAGCTATAGGTGTTGTTTTAAAGTCTCACATAAGCAATATTGTAAGTAGGTAAGGGTTGTCCTGCTATGGACAGGGTGTATAGGCAGCAAAAAAATGGCCAGTCATGTTGTTATATTTGATCTCCCAGGAGGTCAGGTAGTCAGTGACACGCAAATGTTTTTCATCCCATTCGCAGGATCCCACAGAGTCATTTAGCTCTTTCAGCTGCATGAGCAGAACAACCATGAGCTCTTTTATTCCTCCAGACTGCAGAGGTGTCTCTTTTCATTTGGTGCTGCATGGCACTTGGTTGCAGTGGCTGGGCTCGGGACGTATCAGATGCATTTCATTGCAGAAGACACAGTAGCTGCTCTGCACATGAGCCAGCCCCTAGGAAAGGCTTTGCCCCATCTTACAGAGCCAGTGACCTTGATGGGGATGTTCATGCTGTGCTGCATTGGTGAGCGGGGTCCAAAGCTGCAGAAATTGAGACTGTGCTTTTACTTCCTGCATGGCCAGACCGAAGGAAGAAAGCCCAAGGCTCAAGGGCATGAGAAGCGCTCTCTTCTTTTGTTCTCGGCGTCTTTTTTTTTTACTGGCTGGCCATGACATTAAGATTTCTAATTAATTTAGAAACCACAGGCAGTTGAAGAGAGTGAGCAATGTAATAACTGGGCCATGGGGCAGAGTAAAAGCACATCAATTATTCAGGCAGTCGCTGCTGCTTATTCCCTTCCCAAAGCTGGGCTGGCTGTCAGCGTGTGTCAGTGATGCTGCTAATGCCCTTCATAATTTACATGCATAAATAGTGGCCTTTTAAAATCTGCATGAGGATAACTTTAGTATTTTCAACAATAGCCTCCAGCAGCATGCTCTGTCTAGCGGGCACCGGGGGCTCCAACCACTGTTTTGGGTGCCATTGAACTATTTGGTTCAAAAACTGGGATCTTGGCAGGTGCGTCCCCCAGAAGCCTCTGCTCTAGAGAAGTTGCTCCTCAGAGAGGTTAAGGGGCAGCCTGAGCCACGCAAAGAAAGAACCAGTCCTGCTTTAAAATGCAGGTGGTGTCTGAGAGTGTTCTCTCTGGGCGAGTGAGTCCAGCATCTCTTACAATGCATCATCCCCTGCTTCTATTACTGTGATGTCTCCAAAGCACACTCTGTGAAGAGAGGCATCTCTTGGATGCCTCTGGGGCTGGAGCCAGTGCAGTTCTTCTACAGGTGGAGGAGCAGGAAGCATCCTTCTCTTCCTCACTGCTCTGACTATTGCAGGTCCTGCACTTTGAGCAGTTGGAAAGTTTGGAATAGAGGAAGCTTCTCTCAGTGCCAAGAGCTACATTCACAGGACTGGCCATGAGAGTCTTAAATGGGTGCAGCTCAAAGTCTCTTGTTGGGGATGCCACAGGGAGCAACACTGATTCCTGCACTGAACCAGTAAGGGGAGTGAAAACTGGGGGACCCATTAGATTTTTCTGCCATGGACTACAAGTGGATGACAAAGCCTTATTTTTCTGTACGGTTGGCACGGTTATCCCTGCTGCTGGAGGCAGCCACCTTGCTTTTTAAAAAGCGAACTGATTTGTGAAGAGAACGAAATAAAATGAGCCTTGCTAATTGCGTGTTGTGCCGGCGAAATGACCAGCTTGGATTTGGAAAATGCTGGCTGTAATTAATGGTGAAAGGCTTTTTCTCTCATCTGTGTAGCCATTATGAATCACTTCTCCCCGTGGAAACTTTTAAATCTGTCTCACTGGGGAGCCTGAGGAGGAACAGGTAAAATGGATTTGCCTTAATAGCTGCAGTTGTAACTTAAACACTTGAAATGATATTAAGCATCTCTCTCCATTAGAATTTCATGTTGATCCTGATGATACACCAGCCAAGGCTAAGACAGGATCAACGTTCATTAGATGGAAGAAAATAAACTTTGTAGACAAATGCTTTGGCTAAATGGGGCCTTCATTGCACCGAGAACAAGAATGCAATTAGCTGAAATGTTTGTTTACAAAATCTAATTCCTGGGGAGTATCTTCTCAGATTGCCGCTTACATCTCTTGGGCTGGTTTTGTTGCCAAGGCTTGCAGGTTGGCGGATTTTGCGAAGCTTGGTTGTAGTACGTGTGTAACAGATGTTTCAAACTTTGCATGGTAAAGCTGAACCCAAGTGAAGAGCAGGGGCTAAGCTGCAGGTGTGTCAGAGTTTATTTGTGCATTCCTCACATTTATTTTTCAGTTTGCAGTTAAGTGCAATTAATATTAAGTATTGGATGCTCCAGATATTAAGCAGTGTAGGCTGAAGAGAAGCTGGAAACTGCACTGCTGAGTGCTGCTGTCCTCCTGTCCCCTGCTTGGAGCCTAGCCCAGGGGAATCACCGATGAGCTCTCCAGCTGGGTGAGGATGCATCTCTGCCAGGATAACTGCGTGAAGAGCCTTGTCCTGGTTGCTTGACAAACATGAACCCCCTCAGAAGGTGATTTTTCCTATCTGCAATGCAAATCATGCCATGGACGTGCTGCTTTGCTTTGGGTTACAGAAATGGCCAATGGGAAACATAACTGCTGCCATCCAGATATTAGAGCAGGTTTTGTCACTGTGTAGGGTTTGTGGAGTTGGAAGGATTAGGCATTTGGAGCTTGTGCTGATACCAACAAAACAGCTTCATACTAATTGTAAGCATGCAATAGAACATTGCTCTGCATGCTTGGATATGGTGTGGCAGTATCTCTTAGCTTTTTTTTTTT